GACAAAGAGGTATAAAAAATTCTGGGTTGGTGGAGGGGTGGGGAGGGGGAGGAGGAGGAGGAGGAGGAGGAGAGGCAGTGATTGCGACGATCGCTGTGGCGATAGGCGGCGTTGGCGGCAGACCAGACGACGCATTCCAGACAGATCACCCATCGAGGACAGGGAGGCGCCGATCGCAAGTAGTCGCGTGTCAAGGAAGAGATACGTCCAAGACACGAAGAAGGAGGGAGAAGATGAAAAGGAGCGGGACGAGAAGCAGAAAGGAGGGGAAAACGGGACAGGAGCAGAGACAGGTAGGGACTGCGACGGGTGGTTCGGATAACAGGATCGAGCAAGGAAGAGAAGGCGACGGGCAGACAAGTAACAGAGACGAGGAGAAGGAGAGAAGAGATGGACGACACGCGTAGGGAAGAACGAGGGAAAGCCAAAGGGAGCGGAACGGAACGGAACGGAGACGGAGACGGAGACGGAGACGGAGACGGAAATGGAATGCAAAGAACACGACACACCTGCAGAGTAAGTCCACTTTCCCTACCGGGAGTTGATCAGCACGCTAATCATGCATCTGTCCCGGCTAGTGGCTTCATCTCTCCTCCCATGCTCATAGCTTCCACATTTCCTGCCACAACGGCACGTTTCGACGCCCCGCTGCCGCACTGCCACGTGTCCCGTCCCCGGTCGATGATCTGCAATATCGCAGCCTCGTCACACCGCACGTCAGACTGCTGTGCCCGCTCTAATCTCTTCCGTCCCAGCGCTCGGCAATTGGGGGGCAGATTGGCGTAGAAATGCCAGATCTGGCACAGGGTCGAGGCGACCGTTGCGGTGGTTCCTCAGGACTGGGGCCAACGGCAACCGTCTGGCGGGTGCTCACCGTATATACACGAGGTTTGGTAGTGTGCAAATGGCTTCAAGGGTGGGGTAGTTGGGTTCGGGGGCCGTTGAGGTAGGTATAGGGTTAGGGTGTGTTAGGGGTATGGTCTGCTGTATAGCGGACCAGAGCACTCGGTCAGTATGGGGGAGGCTAGAGAGTGGTGTGGTATCACAAGAGCACTCCGTGGTAGGCACGAGGTAGTCCTGTAGGAGAGTGCCACTCGTAGAGGGAGCACGGGTTCCACTGGGCCGCATAGGCCTCGGGTTTTCCGGTAGGTATAGGGGTATGGTGTGTTAGGGGTATGGTACGTTAGGGGTATGGTGTTCGCAGCCCGTAGGGTTGCGTTTATACTCCTGAGTCATTTTTCATTTTTGTCCTCGTACTCGTGAGTCATTTTCGTCCTCTTACTCCCGTCCTCGTTCATCATACTGGCTGTTGGTACGGGCCCAAGGCTGCGCAAGGATGACACGCATAAATCGAGAAATGGTCCTTTTAAAAATTAAAAAAAATTAAAAATAAAAATTTGAAGGCAGGGGCTTCTAGAGGGGTGGGCAGTCCTTGCAGGTGCAGGACCGGTATTGGCCGCGGTCCTGGGGAGAACAACAAAACTGCATGCCGTCCCCAGGGCCTGGAACTCAAAACTAAGGGCATACTCGCACAGGGACCAAATGAACCAAAATCCCAAAATTTGAGGCATTTTTGTGGTCAAACGGGGTTGGCCCTGTACCCAAATGCCTCAAATCGTAACCAAATGTCAGCGGCCTGCGAGGCCGCGGGGGTACCCTTTTTGAGACCACCTCCTCCAGAGGTGGTCTCAAATGACCAAACGCTTTTTTCGTTTCCTTTCCTCAATTTGTAGAAAATCGTAGAAGAATAAGGGCATACTCACACGGGGACCAAAAGAACCAAAAATTTGAGGCATCTGGGTACGGTTATTTGGGTCATTTGGTTCGTGTGTGGTCACACGTGCGGACTTCGTCCAGAAAGGACAAAGTCGCAACCCTGACACTTTGCACTCAGGGCAAGGTCGTGTGRYCACACGAGGGGACACCAAAGAAAAGAAAAAGAAAAAAAAGAAAAAAGAAAAGAAAAACAACTTCGGCTGGTTGTCTTATTCTTCTACGATTTTCTACAAATTGAGGAAAGGAAA